ACGGCGCATTCCAAGCCCGCGAAATACAATCTTCAGACCCACGCCCTCGTAATACATCGGATGTGTTATCGATCCCCGCCTCCGAAGAGCCATTAAAATCCCATGGCGGTAACGCGCGCTGCTTTCCCCCCTTTCCGACGACTTTACCGGCAGACGAGCAAGAGCCGGGCTCTGTCAACGAGACTCGGACGTCGCGCCGTGCCGCGCATCTCCAACCTCAATCCATCAGAAGGCGGAGGGCCGCGGGCGGAGCGATCGTTGGAGGGCGCTTTGTGGAGGCGGCGACGGTGGTGGGTGATCGTCGTGGTGGTGGGTGTGGTGACCGAGCCCAGCGGTCCGGTACGAGCAGCGACTTGGTAGCCGGGCGGGGCGTGATTGTGGCTCCGGCCGGTAGTGAGATATGGTGCGCGGCGCCGCGGAAATTGATTGTGGTGGTGGTGGCCGATGGCATGGTGGATGCCAGAGACAGTGAGTCGAAGGTGGCAGCGAGGGGCGATGGTGCGACGGGGGTAAAGTACGAAGAGAGAGGAGAGGCGCACCCGGAGGCGGGAGCCAGGACTGGGGCGAGATCGGAGCGGGCGAGCGGGAGCCAGTCGCCAATTGGGGCGGCGGGCGAAGGTGGAGCGGAATCGGTGTTCTAGCGCGAGTCGGTGTTTGGAGGGGTGGGTAGAGCGGGGCGAGGCGGAGGCGGCCGAGGCGGCGGTGGGTCATAAGGCGAGGCAGAAAGGGGCGGTGGCGGAGGCGGCGCGGGGCGGAAGGGTGGCGAGGCGGGCGGACGGGGCGGAGGCGGCGGATTGCGGGCGCGGGGCGAGTTAGCGGCGGAGGCGGCGAGAGCCCGGGCGGAGGCGGTGGCGCGGCGGAGGCAGGAGGTACGTAAGGCGGCGGAGGCGGAGCGGAGCGGCGCGGGGCCGTGGGAGGGCTCGTAAGGGGCAGGGCGGGAGGCGGAGCAGCACCGCGGCCTGCCTCGCGCGTATTCCTGCGCGCGCCCGCCATCGCTGCCGCCTCATGAATTCACAACGAGCGCCCCGCCAGATATTTCAGTTAGTATCGCTCTCCCGGCGCTCGCGCGCCCCTCCGCCTCCAACCACGCCGCACCCCGCGACGCGACGCGAGGGACGCTGCGCTTCTGAGACTGCGCTCTCGCGTCGACGACTGATGTTCCAAATGAGAGCGCGCGCAGAGCCCAAATTGAAGGGACGGGTAGCAGTAGTCAATAAGCACTCGGAGCACATATGAAACGTCACAGAGAGGATCTGTGAAGGCAGTCAGGCAGTCAGAGAATATTGTCCTATTCTTCTAATCTAACCCTCAAGTACAAATTTCCATTCATTCTCTTTCTACTGGCTTCCACAAAATGTTGTTTGTCTTATAAACAAGGGGTCACTGCCCTCTATTATTAAAATGTTTCATCCACTGAACATTTTTGCACTCTTCTTTTCGTATTTAATTCGCCATTTTTCTCACGTGTATAGCATCTACATCGCATCTTAACCTTCACAAACCATGTGGAAATTCGCCTAATGCATTAGAAAACCTAACCCGGTGTGGGTAAATCAGTTTTCTCCAAATGTGATGCTCTGTTCGCTGCAGCGCTAGTAAGGGCGTTTTCTCATCTTCTATCGTGCTCTACAGATGTCCACAGACGAATAAATGTCACAATCTTCTATAGCATGTAGGGGAGGGGGAATGAACGTATGGTGCGAAATTTCACACACTGAAGTTTCACTTTAGAATTGCCCTAGATTGATATCTAACTCATCATACATTGGTGTTTGGTAGGTACAAATTTTGTCTCAAAAATGTACCGTACACTATTGCAGATGAGTGGCCTACCAGTCATTCGTTATACCATGTTTTTTCCACATGTGTGGAGGCAAAAAAGATAATTTTTGACACGTTTGGAAGACATCTTTGAGGATGTGTAGCTACTAGATAATGCCTCGTCCTGTATACGTGAGATAAGTACCGAGTGGAAGAGCATTACAGAACAATAAAGCTCAAACTTCACTTCCAAAAACACAGCATCCAACATG